AGAGTTTCGATTGTGAGTTTGTGGTGAGCGGACGTGTGAGCTCCGCAGTGACAAAACCTGCCGGTTCTAAAACCAGTGCTATAAGTGTTACTGAGTTCTGACAATTTATATAAAGTAACATCAACAAAAATACCAACTCCCATCAACATCTCAAGGACAATATCACCCAACAAGACACCGAGGGTGGATTCCTCACAAAAGGAGGGCCGTCTCCTAGGGGACCACCTCCCAACGGCAACGAACATGAAGCCCAAGGATCAAAGCTCAAAAGAAAAGCTCAAGAAGGGGGGAAAAACGCTCGAGCCTCTCTCACCAACTGCAAGTAAGAATAAGCTCAGTCAATCGCTGAAAAGAAGAATGAACTTCCCAGCTGCCTCTTCAAAAACCAAGAAGAGTGCTCTGGAAGACTTAGAATCTTCAAGTAAAACCTGTCTCTTATACACATCTAGATGTGTATAAGAGACAGATACTATATTGTTTTGATAACAAATGACCCAGGGGCATGTTTTATGTTATATTTGGTTTGATAACAAATGATCCAGGGGCATGTTTTATACTATATTAGTTTGATAAGAAATAATCCAAAGGCATTTACACTTGCAGATGCTCTATGAAAAAATTGCGAATGCGATACTGGCAGATGAGGGGGGCTTGGGGAAGACAGTGCAAACAATAGCGATGCTGTGCCATCTTGTGGAGAAAGACGCTAAGGGTCATTTCTTGGTGATTGCTCCCCTCAGCGCCCTGTGCAACTGGTGCAACGACATCAAGATGTTTGCGCCGCAGGTGAGACCAACATGGGAAAATGTAAGAATTCAGATCCTTTATTAAACCTCATTAATAAAGCAGGATTTATTAAATAAATGGATTTAAAAAAAAGATTATTTGATTCACAGGTGAGACCAATGTGTGAAGATTTGAGCATTTGGATCCTTTATTAAACCTTATTTATAAAGCAGGATTTATTTTAAAAATGGATTTAAAAAAGGAGTATTAAAGTTGTGTGTGGTTAGCCATCTCTCTCTTATAGTTTGTTATTTGTACCAAAGTTCTGGCTTATATTTATTAGGAATGGGCCATATCTATTATCTTACTTTAGGCACAGTAATGTTTAAAAATATTTTGTATAACTTGCAAAGATCTTGTGAAATTATGTCAAAAAGTAATACTAATGACAGTTATTGATTGCAGCTGCCGTAGGTATGTGGCAACAAGAGCGTGTCGTGTGAGAAGATGTATGTTTGAAAATAATTTGTAATAATTTAAATAATTTTACTTAATAATAATAAATAATTTAATAATTTTTAATTTTAATAAATAATTTTAGTTGAGAAATAATATTAATGGCAGTTATTGATTGCAGCTGCCATATGTGTTGTTCCATGGCAACGAAAGCGTACGGTGTGAGAAAATGAAGCTGTTCAAAAAGACGTCGCCTGTAAAGGTTACATTGCCTGATGGCAGCTCCGTTACCCGCAACGTCTTCCCTATTGTTGTCACAAGCTACGAGGTATGTTATAATTTGAGTTATTTCTTCATTGAATATTAAAATTATCATCTATACATATAATAATATATCTATGATTTATTTTCTTATTGAATAATTTTATGTGGTATGCCAGAATTTGATTTTTTTTATTTAGTAATTTAATATAATTATCACCTATACCAAGTTGTATTGATAATTTTGTTTCTGATAATTATTGTACTGTATTATATATAGTACAGTATGCCCTATTGTTGTCACGAGCTACGAGGTATTGTTGCTGGCGCTATGGAATGCTTATGTCGGGTTCTTTAGTCTCTGGCAACAATTTAGGTGAATTAAAGTTTTCTTCTTGCTATGGATGTATTGTTAAAGCACGGGGCAGCGATTACAGATGCAGTTGCGAATGGAATGAAATGTAACCAGACATTGGGAGCATGAGTGAGGTATTTGAGCTGCAAGAGATAAAACATATAATCAATAAAAGTAAAATCAAATAAAAGAACCTCACTCACAGCAGTTAATCAAAACCAAAAACCCTTAGCATTGATTAAACAATCAAGCTGCAAGCACTAAGGTTAACTTAGTTCGAATATAATTGATAATGAGTGCACAAGAGTAACGCGAGAGAGAACACACAAGAGATTAAAGTGGACCAAGGTAAACGGCACAATTGCAACTGTGGTAATAACAGCAACTTATTGGGAGAACACGTAGGTAAATTGAAAACAGTTTGGTATTCTCATAATAAAATAGCAAGCATTGAAATTAGAAGATTGAAATAGCAAAGCAACTGAAGCAAAATCATGTAAACAACTCACTATTGTGCAATTAACATTCTTTAGATTAAAAGCAAGCATTGCTAGAAGTGGATAAATGTATGTGCAAAGTATAAACATAAGCAGGAATGAAGTAAATAAATTATTAAGCTGAATAAACACTAACATACCTGGTTTTTAAAGCATTGTACAATATGGATTCTAACAAGCACTCACCAAGGCAATTGCAGTCGTCAGAGCATTGGACATCAATCTGCCTGCTTCTATTAGAACTTTACTATGTTACTGATCAAGCACATGCATGAATAATATAATTATTGGAATTTTTCTTGTGCCTGAAAATAAAGAGAAATATTTGGTATTGAATTAGAACATATACATTGAATAAACAAATGAATAACAGATTTGGTTTGCGATGAAAAATACTGAAATAACCACCCGGCTACAGTATGTTATAATTTAATTTATTTCTTTATTGATTATTTTAATATACCATTAAACAGGGTAAAAAGGGACGGTCGGGGTAAATAGGGACGCGCGTCCCACATTTTGTAGAAATGTAGCAGCTAAACTAATCGAAATATTGCAAAACTAAAAATAGTGGCGTAAACTTCAACATTTTTACTATCTATTATGTATAAAGCTAGTCAAGAAATCAAACATTTACAATCTCTAAAAAATCACTGCAAAAGTGTGAAAAGTGCTATTTTGGAAAAGTACCTCTGCTAAGGTCTGGAGCAAAAAAAAAATATTCGCTGCATTGAAAAATTTTACTTACATAAAAGTTGCACCCAGGTGTTGGCTTGAAAACGTAATTGACAGAATTTGCCTATCTCATTCCGAAAAAATGGCAGCCATTTCCGTGCGACGAGGTAAAAAGGGACACCCCCCCGGGGTAATTAGGGATACCCTTAAAAATGCATTTACAGTAGAACCTCAGTTAGCAAAGGCTCCAGTTAACAAAAAAATTGATTAACAACAAAAAATTTTGATTACATTTACCTCGCTCGGCAAAAAAATTCACATATCGAAAAATTAGTGCATCATCGGTCGTCACAAAATTGTACATAGAATGCTATATATAGAATTGTGAACCGGGCATCATAGAATGAAAAGTAATTGACCTAAACTATGATTTATTTCTTCAAAACATATGATGGTTGTTCCTAAAACATTATTTTCTGTTTCAGGTATGTTTTTCACGATCCTTTTTGTTATTGTGAAATCACTAGACTCAATTAAAATTGTGCAAAATTACAAACCAGCCTGTAAGCTTACAGATACAGAAGAAATGCTACATGGCTGCTGATATGAAGCTTGCAGTGGACAAGGTTCTTGTTAATGCTCAATGGCATGTCCATGGATACAGTAATATCACATTAATAATATGGTAATTATTGAATATGGTAATATAATATCAATAAAGGAAAAACAAGTAAAAATAACAGAAAATGTCATTTATTTTACATCTTCATCATCTACAATGAAAGAGGAGGACTTCAGAGTGCTGTTAGTAATAGACAAGTACACTCTGCATGCTTCAATGTTTGAAATTGATTTTATTTCAAGTGTCCCTTTTTACCCCATTTCAAGATTAATTCAGGAGCCTTTTATATTGCATCTAGCGCCTTACAAATAGCATATGGAATTTTTTTGAAGATGCCATTCGATAGCCCTTGCAAAGAGCTATAAAATGAGCCTAAACTTGTTTCTGAAATGTTTCACGGTAAGAAGTTATTAACAAAAAAAAACGCTCAAAACCGTCCCTTTTACGCCGTTTGACGGTAATTATCACCTATACCCAAGTTGTATTGATAATTTTGTTTCTGATAATTATTGTACTGTATTATAATACTATAAGTATATGGTAAATGTATAGATGCAGATATAGGATATTTTTTTGCCAATACAATATTTTATTAGTATTGGATAGTTTAATGTAATTATCACCTGTATCCAAGTTGTAGTAATAATTTTATCTTTGATAAATGCTGTACTGTATTGTCAACATTCAAATTGAGTTAAATGATTATTCTGCATTAGATATAGAAGCAGATATAGGATATGTTCTTGCAATATATGTTTAGTGGCTTATTTTTTACTAAGTTGTCACTGTGATGACTTCATTGTTGATGATGTTGCTTCATATCTGAATGTCCTCTATTATATTAACACGTTATTCCATTATAACATTGTTGCCGGGTAGATGTCTCACGTTGCGGGTGAGGTAACCATGTTACCTACTTTGTATTTGGTTTGGCAACAACCCTTCTATCTAGTAAGTCAAAAGGCAAATGAAAGACTGGTGTCTTATCCTATAAATTGAAATGAAAATACCGTGACAATGCTTCACAAGAGAATAGCTAATTATTGAGTGGTTGCGGTACAGTGTAATGGGTAGATGAGTCTAACTGCTTTCGGGAGTTATGAAT